AGAAGGAGGAGGAGGAGGAGGGGGAGGAGAAGAAGGAGGAGGAGGAAGAGGATCATAGTGTAAACAAAAGAAAGCAAGGAGACAAAACATTGGAAGGTCAGAGAACTGGGAAGAGGAGGGGGAAGGAGGAGGAGGAAGAGGAGGAAGGAGTCAGACAGACGATGATGGGAGACAACCACCTGGCCATCCATTGGTAGGCAGGAACGAATTGATTGTAAGGGTAGGGAGCAGAATCTGTCCAGATGTCCGCGATCTCGCACAAGAACTTGCCGGGGTAAAGCTCGTCCAGGGCCCCCTGAATGGCCTTCGCAGACGCCTTGTGGCCCCCTCCAGTGTCAGAGAGGAGGAAAAGAACTCGCTTCCTCCCGTCCCGCCGGGGAGGAACAAGCTCTGCGTTGGCGTCTGCGAGGAAGAGCGGGAAGGAGGAGGAGGGGAGGACCCTGACAACCTGATCCCGTTCCACACGCCGAACCCGGTGAGCGAGGAGAGGATGGAACGAGGAATCTGTGCTGTCCTCTTGAAGAATCCTCGGGGCAGCACGAAGCCACTGGGGTTGAAGCCGAAGAGCTTCATGTAGGGTTGGCATGCCCGACCACGAGCAAGAGGAGAGGAGGAGGAGGAGGAGGAGGAGGAGGAGGAGGAGGCAAGGGAGGAGGATAACTCGCTCAGACTAAACTTTCTCCACTTGCCATCCTTGGCACTCCAAAGGATCAGGTCGGCGGCTCCTCCGATGAAGGCCAGCTCCTCCGCCCTCACGTCTCTCACGCTCTCTCCCTCAGCATGCTCTAGCGAGACTCTCCCGCACCCCCTCCTCTCGCCTCCTTCCACATGCTTCGCAGGCAGCAAGGAGCTCTGGTAACCGGAGGCAGCAGGAGGGAAAGAGGCTAGCTCCTGCACAGCACTGACGATGGAAGGAGAGCCACACCAGAAGGCAGAGAGGAGAAGAAAGAGGAGGGAAGTGGAGTGCAGACGAGGATTCATACTGCAGCCCCTGACAGCAAGACCTACACGCGCAAGTAAGTACATCATAGAAGATTGGCAGGCCGTGGGAAAGGCGGGAAGAAGTTACTTTGCATGCTCCCTCCTCACACATTGTAGTTGAGCAGAACATACAATTATAGCTCGAGCGACCGATCGACCCATCCCATCCTTCCTCTAACTTTCCGCCTTCCATGTTCGACTCGGTCATTCTATCCTCCTCGCTCCCCACTGGACTTGAAATCTTGGAAGCAATAGTCGATTCAAACTCAGAAACATAATGTTTTGAAGCCTCTTCCTCCTGACCAACCTCTTCCTCCACTTATTCCATAACGAATCCACCTTGCATGCCCCATCTAGATACTGCTGCTACGTCTCCTGCTGCCGATACTGTAGACGCAATACGGATTCTTGACTGGGACCTTCCTGCTCTCATCCTATATAACCTGAGATGATACATTCACGATCCCTGCTCATCTCCCTCCTCCTCTTGCTCTTGCTTTCCTCCTGCTTTTCCTCCTCCCCCCCTCCCTCCTGCTCCTGCTCCTGCTCCTGCTCCTGCTCCTGCTCCTGCTCCTGCTCCTGCTCCTGCTCCTGCTGCTCCTGCTTATGTTCCTCCTCCTCCTCGTCTTCGTCGTCGTCCTCCTCCTCGTCCTTCTCGTCCTCCTGCTCCTCCTCCTCTTGATCCGCACTCTCCCCTACATCCGCCATTACTGACGGAGGCCACGCCTTTTTAAAACTAAATTAAATGGCAGCGCTTCAATATTAAATATATGTTAAACTTTATAAAATGTTTTGGATAATGAAGTATATTTTTAGAGTCTGGGTTTGCTCTAGAGAGTTTTGATGCCATGGTACTGTTTAATAAACATATTTTAACAAAGATCATGAATATCTCAACGCTTCGTTGCATTATATTGAGTTGTTTATACTTATCGATTTTACTATACAATAATATTTTGTATTGTATCCACATCCCCACTCGTGTCCAACAGGACCCACACCAGGACCCACCCCCTGAATTGCTTTGGAAGCACCCTCCAGTACCACCCCACCCCCAAATTTGTCATATCTTCGCCTAAGTTGACATACTCTGCACCAAAGACTTGAAGATATGCTTCTCAGTTTGAACTTATTATCGCAAAAATATTGAAACTATTTTAAAACTGGATATGCAGGGTGGGTAGGTAACAGTTACAACCTCACTTTTGCAACACGTATGGAAAAGAGGGGTGGTGTCGAATATGGTACAATATGTACCCGTCCTTTTCATATGAAAATAATGGGTACTTAATTAGAGAGGGTGATATTGGTGGGGTATGGATGACAATGAGACATGGTGGTACATGGAAAGGGTCTCGGAGCAGGGGTGGGGGTACATTCAAGATGGAATGAGGTGGTAGGTGGTGTATTTGAAGGGGTTATTCACCGTTACTGAGAAGGGATGAGGGGTAGGTACTTCAGAGATTGCGAATTTTCTGGGGGTGGTACCGTGGTAGGGGTGGTGGAACGAGGGGTGGGGGACACCGATGTGGACGGAACGGCAAAAATGAGGGCATGGGCGCGAAGGAGAAGAGGAGGAGGAGGAGGAGGAGGAGGAGGAGGAGGAAGAGAACGAGAGAGACCAGCAAGACGTACAGTGTAAAACTGACAGTTGTCATGGTATCCATCGGAAGGAAAGAGCAGCAGTGATTCAGGAATGGAAGGTTTGTTCAGTAGCTACGAATGCAGCTGTAGGCGAAGAGAAGAAGAGGGAGGAGTGGAGGAGGAGAAGAGGAGAGGGTATGAATGTCCGCAGAAAACGAAAATAATGCATTTTAGAGAGTGATCATGATGGTCAAGGAGAGTTGATGTAGATAGGTCCCTCAACATCAAAACTTGTCAAATCGAGATTTGATGACAGGAGACCAGATGTCCACGGCATCCCTGACTGTGCTCGCAGTGGTCTTGCAGAACTTTGAAAGCGACCTCACTTGTTTCCACGACTGTCATGTCGTCGTCGCCTAGCAGCCCCATCCTCCTGCTCCGGCTGGAGCGAGCGGAGTATGACAACGTTCAGCTGAAGCGAATGCTGGAAGCGGCGCAAGAAGAGCTCAGGCTCAAGTCAGAGCGAGTGGAACTTCTGCAGCACAACCTCGTTGCAAGCCGATCGAGAGAGCAGCTGTCGTCGGGCTCCATGAAGTCGATCGAGGGCGCGTTGCACAAGGCTAAGCAGGAGCAGCAGAATGCGATGCAGGAACGAGACGAGTTGCTGGTGTACCTTGAGAGATTGAACTCTGTAAGCTCCGCTTGCTCCTCCTTCTCCTCCTCTTGACCTGTTACTCCTCTTCCTCCTCTTGACCTGTTACTCCTCCCCCTCCTGCATCCAAGCCTTGCAGCTCGTTTTTGTGATGCAGCATGTGGACAATCGTTCCCTCCCTCCCTGCCTCCACATCCTGATTTTCACTTCGCTTCCTGACGTGTCCGGGTGATGCAGATGCAAGTGAAGAAGAGCATGAGCTTGCAGGAGTGCTTCACTAACCGAAGGTCCACCTGCGCGTCTTGTGTAGGGCGTGGGCGTCTCTAACGCAAGTTGCAGGAGGTTGTCGACACTGAGGTCTGCCCTCGAGCACATGGCTGAATACCACCGGAGAAATCAATTCTTCAACAAAGTCCGACACAACTTCCTGACTCGAAGGAGAATGTTTCTGTGAGTGACCCGATCCCCTCCCTCTTTTGGCCCGATCCCCTCCCCTCTCCTTCTCCCTCGCCTGCCGTCTCCCTCTTGTCCCCTCTGCTCCGTTTCCTGCTCTCCCATCGCTTCCGTCTCCTCCTCCAGCGCACTTGTTCTTCACAACCTCGGTCTCGTGCTCCCTGTTCTTCTCCCGTTGCGCTTCATAGCAGTGCATCCTTTACCTCACCATCTCCCACAGGGCTCGATCGGCGCTTGACACTCTGGCCGAAGGAGTCGTGCGAGAAAGAAAGCTGTCACAGCTTCACCAGTCCTGCCATCACCATAGAATGAGGGCAGCGTTGCTGGCATGGAAGGATGTGGAGCCTGAGCGAGGTAACCTGCTCCTCCTATGCCGCCCCTTGGCTGACCACTTTTCTCCTTAGCCTCCTCCCTCAAGATCCGGATCGCTCCTGAAGTGCAATCGGCAGATCCTGTGCCGTCGGAATCATTCGCAAGGCAAGAGGAGGAGGAGGAGAAGGGGAGAGGAGGAGGAGGAGGAGGAGGAGGAGGAGTAGGTGGTCTTGGGATGCTGATAGTGCAGAACAGGAGCTTCGGCCTGGTAACGGACAAGAGCGGAAGCTTCCTCTTTGCTACCAAATTTCTTGGAGAAGGGACGAGTGCAGCTGCAGCTAAGGAGAGGAAAGGCCCAGCTGCAGCCCAGGAGCGTCCTGGCACGGACAAGGAGACGAAGGGAAAGCTGCGTCCACCTCAACCTGCTGTACTGGCGAACTCACCGATGAAGAGGTGGGTGGATGATTGAGAGGAGGAGGAGGGGGAGGGAGGAGTGAGGAGGAGGGAGAAATATGATTACAGGGTCGTGCTGTGAAAGCTGAATGACGGTTGTCTTGGCCAGTTGTGGAGCGAACGACCCAGACCTGGTGCCGAGGGCTCACTCAGAGTACTCTTGGAGGAAGAGCCAGGTGAAGCAAACGTCCTTCAGTCAGGTAAGAGGCAGTAGATGCGTATCATATGGCGCTGAAGGTGATCTACCACCAGCTGTTTGGCTCCCTCCGGTTTATCTGAAACCAAGAGAATGATCGCAAGGTCTCTCGTGTAATGACTAACCTAAGGAATGTTCGTGTATTATCTGTTTGAATGAAAGTTTTGAATGCTGCATCGACAATCTACAATGCATCTACAAATCATGAAGAATCCCTTCACAACACATGGACCTCAGTAAGACACAGAGAGCGAACGGAGTTCAGTGGTTCTGGAAGTTTATTTCAACTATATTCAATCATCTACATCAGCAGCGTCTCAGCACAACCTTGCAGCACAGAAAAATCGCTCCCACCTGTTTACTTCTTCTTGAGGACGGAGAGGGTGCTGGCGAGAACCTTGGCAGCCTCGGCCTCAGGGCAGAACACCTTGACGGACTTGACGCGGACCAACATCTCATCGTCCTGGTCGCCAGTCTTGCCGCCCTTGTACTCCTGCGGATACAGTAAGTGAGCTGAAAATGGAGAAAGGAGGAGAGAATGGACGAATAGGGGTCAACAGAGGTTGGCGGTTGGCGGGAGCGAGCGAAAGTGAGGTGCGGAGGGAAGGATGGAGAATACGACTAGGACAAGGAAAACATGACCGGGAGAGCAGAGATGAGGAGGAGAGGGAAAAGAGAAAGAGAGAATGAGGGGGAAGGAAAAAAGAGAAAGACAGTCAGGAGCATGCTAGGTTCCTGCCCTACCTTGGGGGCACGGTTGCATCCACGGTGATCGAAGATGGTGACCTCGGGGGCGTAGAAGTTGGCGCGCATGAGAACCTGTAGAACAGTGAGGAGGAGGAGGCGGGGCAGATGTCAAAGCGGTTTACCTGGCCCTTGCCAGCGATCTGAGTTCCGAGGGGGATGGCGTTGGCAGCGGCGGCTCCTCCGAAGACGGCGGCAGCAGCAGCTCCAGCGGTCATGGCCTCACGGCGTTCCATCTGCATGGAGACACCGCCCGCGGGGGAGCGGAGGGCTGGCTGGAGGACCAGTCAGATACATGGAGGGACCGAACGAGTAACAGAGGGCATGACCCTGTTCTGATCATGTTGCCACACCAACCACGAACATCTGCTACGTCTAAACTGATTGGCATGCTCTACTTGCTCCAGATGTTTCATCGTCACCGATAACAACAAGAGGAAATCGCATGACAATGAGACCCAAACTTGTCACTTCTTTCAAACGAGACGAACATGTAAGAAATACTGCTCATTGAGCTTGAACATGATACAACCCGCTCCTCTCTAACGTAGCTGTTCCTTCCATTCTCATGTGAATGACTGGATCAGCTATAGTTTACTTCGAGGGCTGCATCATGTTGTTCTCGAACTTATCTCGCACCCGACAATTCAAGTTGCCCTTGAAAGTCATATCAACTCATCTACCATGCTTTCTTTCTGATCGAAAAGCATAAATGCTCTGTCTCATCAGTTTTCATCAAATTCTCTCCAGTCCTCTGCTACAAAACACGATTCGCTCTGATTTCCCCAACTCTCCTTCGGATCCTGAACTTTTCTGTCTTCTCTACTCTCCACCTCCTCCTGGCCTCAAATCCTGTGATCACACCAGCTGTTGTCCATCCCTATCTCCTCCACGTCTCCACTTTCTTCCTCCTCTCATCCTACCGCGGGGGCGAAGGCGCTGGCGACGGCGATGGTAGCTCCAACAACGGCGGTTCTGAGCATGGCGAGACTGAAACGATTCGCCCCCTCCCTACCCTAAAGAACACGAAAACCTGTCAGGTCACCACCCTACCCCCTCTTTCTCCCCCGTGTACCACTACCCTTACCTACAAAAATACCACCCCACCCATTGTACACATTTCAAATTGAATTCCACCCTCCTTCCAGGACTGGTCATCCGGAATTTGTTTGATTTTCAGGAGGGTGGGTGGTGGGGTAAAATGTTAGGGGTGGGTGACGATTAGAGCTGGCTGATAGGGTTCTTAAACATGGATATAGGGTAGGGTACCAATGATTGTTTCCCGGTGGGTAGGGTACATGAGTCATACCCACGAAGGGGTGGTGCTCCATATTTCTCTATGGACCCCTACCTCAACACTACCCCCCATCAACAATCCACCTACCATCGCACACCCCTTTCAAGACCTCAGATGACCCTACCCACCAACAACATCACCCCCACCCTTGCGATTAATAACCCCACCCCCTTACTTCATATATTTCAGACCGGTATAGTCCCAACTCGACCTTGGTGTCATTAAAATTTCTTCACCCCCCATTCCCTCCCCCAGTACCCACCCTTTGCTCATCCGATTCTCAGGACCCTCCCTCATGCAGAGATTTGAGGGGGTGGTATTCGGGACAGTAGTGACCTGGTCACTAGCCGGTCCCGGCGCCGGGCCCGGTCAATGGCAGTGCCTATCACCAAAGAGTCTGACACTAATTGAATCAGCGCTGAAACTTGCTGCCTCCATTTTCGCTCATTTCATGATGCTGAGGCGGGTCTTTGACCTGTGCCCGCCGAGCGATTCGCACTTTTTATCATGGCAGCGAGCAGGGCAGCGAGGATGCGGAGGGGGGAGAGGGGGGAGGAAGGGGAGTGATGCGTCCTCGGAGTCTTTCGTAGCTACTCACCCACTTCCTGTCACGCATGTGCTGTACCCTCCATCATCCCACCCCTCAAGGATATCACCAACTCGCCCCGTCCTACAACCTTAGTTTCCTTTGCTTCCACCCCTCCCATAATTTACCTACTCTATGCTTTCATCCCGCCGTACTTCAATCCCTCGATGCAGTTACCTCTCTCAATGTTTCGCCCTCTGCTTGTTTCATGTGCAGTCGCAGTCTGTCACAGGAAATGATTCCTAGGAGATTGTTGGAGGGTAGGGGAGTGCAAGACAACGAGACAGAATGAGGCTGAGAGGACGAAGAGGGAGGGAGGGAGGCAGAGAGGAGGAGGTAGAGACAGAGGAAGTTTCGGCTCTGATCGTTGAGCTTGCCAGGGTCGAGACGAGAACATGTCGGAGAGGCCTTCCGCCCCGTTCTTGGACAAGGGAGGAACCATTGTAGCGGCAAGGTAACGGAGCCTCCCTTCTCCAGTGCCGTCTCTTGCTTCTTTCCTTGAGCCCCTGCCCTTGCAGGGTCAGCGACATAGCAGGAGGAGGGCTGCAGCCGTACCCGCCGGGAGGAGAGGTGAGGGAGAAATGGGCCCTGTGCTCTATCGCTGATATGATGCAGTACCTTGCCAAGGCTGATGAGACGCCGACCAAGATAGCAAAGATGTTTGGAGTCGATCCCTTCCGACTGGTAGCTCTACTCGCTATGTTACCTCGTGATAGCTCTACTCGCTATGTCACCTCGTGATAGCTCTACTCGCTATGTCACCTTCTGTTGTGTTACCTCGTGCTAGCCTGATGGTCTTGAGAACAGGTGAAGTTGAACCAAGGAAGGTACCCGGATTTGATCTCGACGTCCAAGTTGAGGTCAAACACTCTCATTACCCTCCCGCAGAAGGACTGGAGGTAGCAGAGAGCATGCGTTGTTGTGCTCGTCGGGGAGTGACGAAGAGTGCGGGGAAGGTGGATGCTCACGAGGGTCCTGAGCAAGAGCAAGAACGAGAAGAAGAAGAAGGTGGGATATATGACTTGTTGGATGTTGAGGAGGAGGCGAGGAGGGTTGATGGGACTTTCCTGTTTCCTCCAGGTGTACACCGTGCAGGACATTGAGCCTGATGCTCATGCGCCGGATCATTTCACCATCTTCGAGAGTGTGGAGAGCAAACGAATACAGGTTTGCAAGCTGATGGCTGCCTCTTTATTCTTCTTTCTGTCGTGTCTTCCTCCTCCTCCTCCTCCTCCTCCTCCTCACTCATCCTCCTCCTCCTCCTCCTCACTCATCCTCCTCCTCCTCCTCCTCCTCCTCCTCCTCCTCCTCCTCCTCCTCCTCCTCCTCCTCCTCCGTCCTCCTCACTCATCCTCCTCCTCCTCCTCCTCCTCCTCCTCCTCCCTCTTCCTGTCGCATATGGGTGACCAGTCTTATCTCAGGACTATCCCCAACTCAACAACACATATGAGCCAGGTCATAGAAAGTCTTCATCGAGACATCACATCTGACGCGTGTAAACGATCAGGGGAGGTGGTGTGCGCTTTGTATCCTGTTGTATCCGAACAAGTCGAGGCCTGGTGAGTTTGGTGTTGAAGCAAACGAGTCCTCCTCCCCTCCCCTCCCTCCCTCTCCTCCTCCCCTTCTGCTCTTCCTCTTCTCCCTCCCTCCCTCTCCTCCTTTCCCACCCTCCTCGCCCTCGCTCCGTCCCTCTCTCCCACCCCGCCCTTTCTCCTCCCCTCTTTTCCCTCTCCCTTACTTCCCCTTCTCTTCCCTTCCCTCCTCGATGCCCTTCTTTTCTCCCTCCCCTCTCTCTCTCTTTCTGAGCGATGCTCCTGTGTTGATGTTATGAGGTTTTGGGACTGCATCCTCACTTTGCTTGTTGATGTTTTTCATTCCAACTCTCTTGACCTCTGTCACCTTGTATAACTATGGTTTCTCCGATGATTGTCTTGTCTTATATCATCGCATTGATTCTTCTTGTCTTTGTTTGCCATCTCGCCTTATGCTCTCTTCACAATCTCCGACAGGGACAACTCGCACTGGCTGACTGTCTTCTATCCCGGTGAGCTCCTCCTCCTCCTCCTCCTCCTCCTCCTCCTCCTCCTCCTCCTCCTCCTCCTCCTCCTCCTCCTCCTCC